ATAAGGTGAACCTTGGCTTACTGTACTCACTTCCCAACATGTAGTGAACAGTTTTTGGTGAAACTCATATGAAATTGTTCACTGAAGGTTAGTAAATTAGCACAAGCAAACCCACAATTTCCTTGTTTAGTTTGTAACACATCCTTGCATGCCATTGTATCAATACGGGACTTTCCAATAAGGTGGTAGGTAGGACAGTCTGAAAATTGTGTGCTTCAAAACAAGCACACGAAAAAGACATTTCTCTCGTTAAGCAGTGCTGATAAATGGCTTAAGCCTTAACTGTCCCTCAAAATACTTAACTCCTGTGGTAAAGTGGGGAATGAATTCAGCCACATAGGAAATCAATTAATGACCTACTTTCATTATTTATAAGCTCTCATTTAAAAAAATAACAACACCATGGGAGTCAAGCATACTCCTTCCATCAAATATCTACCATTTGCATGTATTGTTAGCACAGTGTGTGGAAGAAAACAGCTGCAACATCAGCACCTGGAATGAGTGAGGATACTCTCTCTGTTCTTCGGTCCCAACTCTGCAACTTCTAAGTGAGCTGACTCTGTGGTTAAATAGTGCAAACCTACTTATGTACCAGCTGAGGGGTGTCTCACCACCATCATAGTTTACAAGTGCAATTTCCGTGAAGGTGTGAGCCTGAAAAATTGGTGATATTTATCACCACATTCTATCCTTATAGAGAGGATTGCATCTATATTCTTTTGATGTCCTTGCCAGTTAAAAATAAGACACTCTTTTTTTCTATAGCTTATGAGATTTCAGAAATAAAACAAAAACGTTTTTCATCATTTACCTATCATGTCTTTTTCTACTTAATGAAATATCCTTTTTCAGTTCCTTTACACGGCCTCTTGAGAATAGCTGTTTATAACACTAACATAGAATCAACTACCAATGGGTAGATGTCACTCCCTAACTGATTCTTCTCAACTGTCACTATTTCTTTCAGTTGTCCTTTTTTTCTGTAAAGTTCAGCTGTCTTTTCTCCACTACCAATTCTTTTTTTTTTTCTTTCCAATTTCAATTTCTGATGAGCCTCCAGAAGGCATATGGACTAATATTTTTCATTTTGCTTATGGACCATAATACTGTTTTCTTCTCTCTTTTTTTTTTGAACTTTTTAATTGTGGCTTTGGAGACAGTGTGAAGAGCAGATTAGTTTCCCATGTAACAATTTATACACATTTTGTGACATTGGTTGCAACCTCCAAAATGTAACAGCACTCTATCCACTGGCCTCCTATGTTCCCCAGTTAACGACACGCCATTCACTTCCTCCCTGTGTTCCCCACTTGCATTCTGCCTTCTAGGCTGTGTGGTTGATTGTTCTCGGGAATACACTCCTCCCTGCTGTTATTATTCATTTTGATAGGCCTGTCGATTATTTGACTGAAAGTTCATCTCCAGGGTTGGGATTAGTTGCTGGTTTGAAGGGTGCCTACGGGCCATAGGCCTGGGTGTTCCACTAATCTCTATCAGATCAGTAAGTCCTGTCGTGTATGGTTTTGAGCTTGTTTTGCCTTTTCCCCTCCCACTCTATACAGGACCTTCTATTGTCATCTCAATCAGAGTGGTCAGCAGTGGTATCAGGGCACCATCTAGTTGTTTTGGTCTCATAGTAGAGGCTGTGGTTCAAATATTACATCATCCCTTTGTACCAATTATTCCCCTGAGTTTTGAATCATCTTTGTTTCAGATAGAGATCAATAGTTACCCCTTAAAATCCTAGTTGCTATTCACCAAAACAGCTCAATGACTCATTCCCTCTAAGTGTTTGGTCATGGCTTAAGACGCTTTTAGAACTTTGCCCTTGTATGTGCTACTCTATCTATGAGTATATTTGCAATACTTAGAAAATATATATAGATATATATTCTCTCCCATACATATACTCGTGAGTATATTACCATTCATTTTTCCACATATGTTCAGCTTGTCTGTCTATGAACCTTCTCAAATTATTGTTATTCCAGCTATTGTGGGATTGTGTAATATTTTATATTTATCTTTGTTGTCTTTACCACAATGCAATTTTCAATGTCTTCTTTTGCCTGGATTGTGTTGACTGACTACCCTCTTCGGTAATCTATCACTTTTACATTCCCCCCAAGTTAATGTGTTTCCCTTTTCCCGCCTAGTCAGGATTCTCCTTCCCTTCACATGCTGTTCCTGGTAACCACCAACAAAGTTTCTCTGTGTGAATCTTTTCTTGCCTCTTTAATAATAGAGGTCTCATACATTATTTGTCCTTTTGTGATGGACTAATTACATATAACATCACCTCCAGGTTCATTCATATTATGAAGTGTTTTGTGGATTCTTCTTCAGTCTTTAACATTACATATTATTCTATTGTGTATGTACCATAGTCTGTTAACCCAGTCATCCACGGATGAGCACTTCGGTTGCATCTTCTTGCTTCTATGAAAAATTCTGTGACAAACATGAATGTGCATGTATCTACCCATGTCACAATTCTAATTTATCTAGGATATATACTGAGTATACTGATAGCTGGATCATATGGCATTTCTATTTACAACTTTTTAAGGAAGTAACATTCCATTGTCTACAATGATTTCACCATTTAAAAAGTTCACCAGCAGTTTTATAAGCATTGCAAAAAAAATTTCCCCAGCCTCTAGGTGCTCTTATTACTCATTTAGAGAAGTCTTTTGATGCAAATACCAGTTTTTAGGAGATTTCAGTTATCTAGCTTATTTTCTGCTGTTTGTACATTTTTAGTTATGCTTGATAAGACTTTGCCATGTATTGAAATACTTAGATTTACCCTTGTTTTTTTGATCCACACTGAGTTAGTTTTTAAAGATATATTTTGAGATAAGGATCCTGTTTCATTTATTGTAAATAGGTATCCAATTTTGCTGGCACCCCATTTGTTAAAGAGACTGTCACTACCTTATTTAGTGGATTTTAGCCAATTGTCAAATATCAGCTGTCTATAGGTGAATGGATTTACTGTTGGGCTCTCAAGCTTCTTCCATTTGTCTGTGTCTCCGGTGTTGGGCTAGTCTGATTTCCATGGGTAGGTTTTGAGGTCAAGAAGTGTGAGGCCTCCTGTTTTGTTCTTCTTTATTTGTACTTTGCTTTTGCTTCATAGAAACCTCTTTCTTTTCTATAAGAGGTTGCTGATTAGTTTTACCATCTCTTTAAAGAATGTAGGAATCTGGGCCGGGATTGCACTATTTTTGTAGATGGCTTTGGATAGTATCAGCATTTTCATAATGTTGTCTTCCTATCCATAACACAATTATAACTTGTTATTCATGTGTTTTTTTTATATAGGTCTATTTTGGTTTCTTGTAGTAGGATTTTATAGCTTTCTCTGTATGTCTTTTGTATCTCTGCTAAGATATATTCTTAAGTATTTTATCTTTTAGGTGGCTATTATATATTGTGCTGTTTTCCTGGTTTCCTTTTCAGAGTTCTCTGTTAATGTAGAAGAATCTGCTGATTTTTTTTTAAGTTCCTGGAAAAACTAAATTATCTTTATAAAAACAATTTTTTAAAGAGGACATTTCTTAAGTCTTAGATGAGAAAAAGACAAGACAACCACAGATATATCATCCTGATGAGGGAGACCATTAGCACTAGGCCAAAATGGGAACCAAGGATATAAGAGGTCAAGGAAAATATCACAAAAAGATGGTTGGTGGATCAATACAGCATTGTCACCAGTAAGCCCCCTGAAACGGTATTGGGGCCATGTTTGGGACATATACATTATGTTAGACAGAGACCCTAATTAATCATTTGGTTCAGGGGCTTCCCACGGGCAATTAGAGCACGATTAAGACTCTGTAACCCCCAGTACATTGATCTCTATCAAGGACACACCCAGGTAAGGGAGATAGCCCCTTCCTAGTTTGATCAAGGGATAGAGGTTATCCACTTTGTTCATATAGGTTGAAAACATATGGTGAGAAGATACAAACTTGACCTACACCTTTCCTGCTTTTAAACCACACAGTATGCCCTTGTTCTGTTCCCACAACTGCCTTTTGATCTGTGTACAGTTTCTGCATGACAAAAATGAAGTGTTCTGGAATTCTTACGGCTACCAATAGTTTGTTATGATCCACACTGTCTATATATCCTTTGCATAGTCTATAAAACAGATAGACATCTTTCTGGTATTTTCTGTTTTCAGCCATGATCCGTTTGAAATCAGCACTGATAGCTCTTGTTCCATGTCCATGTAATCTAAGCGACAATTTAGAAACTTACCAGCATTTTTCAAAGCTTTACATATTTTTGCTTGTTCATACTATGCGTATTTTTACTCTTCTGAAGACATCACCGTTGTTTTCACTGCTTTTACTTGTGAAAGAATGGAATTTCCTAATGAGCAATTTTAGTCTTTATAAGAAAAAACTAACACAAGATGTCAGATAGATTATACCAAACGTGAATGAAATACTTACCCCATTTATCTTTAAAATGTGTTACTTTAGAAATCAAAACCACAGAGGGTTGTTTTCACTGGGGAAATATTTTGCATTATAAGGGAACATATCCCACAAGTGAGATCTGTAAAGTTTTGTAAATACCCTAACAATCACAACTTGAAGCTCTGAGGTAGTAGAGCAGAGGGTCACTCACAAACTGCGTTGGTGAGATTTCTAGCTCTCCACTTTCTAGCAGGATATTTAACCTCTTTGTGCTTCAGATGAGAACACAGTAGGGATAAAGATCAAATCTACTCTGTGGATTACTGAGAGGATTAAATGAGTTTACACAGGGAACATCCTTGGAGCAGTTGTGGGTGCTTGGTGAATGTTCCATAGACGTTAGCTATTATTTTGGAGTGGCAAAGTAAGAAACTTTCAGTAATTTTGATGGGCTGAAATACTGTGCAATTTTTGCACTTACTGGGTTGCATTACTTTTCTTTTTCTTTCTTTTTTTTACAGACTAAGTCTACCTTCTGGTCTTAGAACACAAGGAAGCAGAGTTTCACTCCGTTGAGTGAAACTGCCTCCTGCTGCAGATAGTGCCCGGCATCAGAGGTAGTGTGTCAGTTGTGCAGACATCGGTAGATTATTCTGGGATCTCACTTTTCTTTTTTTACCTCGTGAAAGTTAATGGAAGATAACTGGCGCAGACCCAGTCTAAAGTTTAAAAATGCAGGTGAAAGTTGGACACCGATTAAGGAAGACCAAAGATGAAGTCATGTATTTGAATTATGCTGGAGAAGAATATTGAAAGTACCATGGATTGCCAGAAGAACAAACAAGCCTGTCTTGGAAGAAGTACAGTCAGAATGTTTTTTAAAGGCAAGAGTGGTGAGAATTTGGACATGTGGTCAAAAGAGACCATTCTTTGGAGAAAGACATCATGCTTAGTAGAGGAGCATGGAAAAAGAGGAAGATCTTCAATAAAATGGATCTGCAAGGTGGCTGCAACAATGGGCTTAGGCATAGGAACAATTGTGAGGATGGTGCAGGGACAGGCAGGGTTTCCTTTGTTGTACACAAGGCTGCTATGAGTCAGAGAGACACCGATCAACAACCACCAGATCTAAAACCTTGATTTATTGTGAGGCAGGCTTAAGATTTTAATAGCTATTCAAAACCTTTGTACCGCTTCAGTTGCATTACAGAACAAAAAGAGAATTGACCCCAGTGGATTTCCACATACATCTGGTATTTATTCTTCCCAAGAGGCTGCTCTGAGAAGAATCAACGATGCGTCCCCCGTGAATACACTCAACAGAATGCATATGATGTAAAATTCCCTGTTGACCCATGCAATACTAGAGTAGAAGATTTCATTATTTCATTTCACTGTTAACTACAAATGTTAGGATGGGTTAGAAAATGACAGTCCTTTTGAGCACCTAGGTTCCAGACATTGCTCCTGGTCACTCTATTAATTATGCTAAGCATCCTAAGTTGTTTTGACTAGTGTACTAGCCATGAAACCTCAGATTGTGAAAACTACAGGGAACGGAATGGATCTTCCGGGCTCTTAACTTTAAAACATCCCAACTTGTATATTTGCCTTAGTGTTTTCTGCAAGTAGCGCCTGCCCAAGGAGGAGGAGCACTTGCAACCTGCTTAAAGGGACGTGCGCGTGTCTGGGCACGCACAGGACACACACACGGACCCACTTTCCTAGGGCGGCCCAATCAAAGTCTCCCTCTTACCTCTGAGGCTGTCAACTCTCACGCCCCTCCGGGTGAGCCCAGCCCCCTCCTCACGCTTCCACTCCCTCACGCTCCGCCCAAAAGGTAAGACGCACCAGTTTCACTGGCGAATGCAGCTCTCACTCCTACTCTGCAGCCAATCACTCCAGGGCTGGTGGAGAAGAGCGTAGCCAATGGGAAAACTCGTTGCGGCAGCTGCCGGGTCCCAAACGCCGGGAGGCGGTGCCGAGGGGGGGGGGCGGGGATTAGTTGCCGCTTGGAGTGAGGAGCCGGCAGAACACTCGGCGGCGCTCGCTGTGGCTGGGGCTTCCGTGGAGTGCTCGGCACCTCGAGGCCCCTCTTCTCCCTTAGTCCCTAGAAGTAGGGGCCCCAGCTCGCCGTCCAGTTGCCGGGTTCTTCAGCGCGTGCAACCCCACAAGGGCTGAGGAGGCTGCGAGTTCCGTACGGTTGCCCTGCTTCCCTGTCAGTGCGATGCCCGGAGCGGAGGCGGCGGCGGCGGCGGCCCGGGGGTCGTGGCGGA